CGGGCACGGAGGCCGAGGCCGTGGCCCGGGCTCTCCGTGCGGCTGTGGAGGGCGCCCTGGCCCTAGCCGAACCGCAGCGATAGTGGGAACGGGTCGGCGGGCACGATCGGTAGGCGAGGGAAGCGGGACCGCCGCTCCAGGGCGCTGCGGCCAGAGAGACTTTCGGAGCCTGGACGTGCAGGAGCACACAGCGCTGACTGAGGAAATTGTCTCAGAAAAAGGCCGATCTGAGGCTGGGGCTGAGCACGGGACTGGGCTAGGTGGAGGAACCTGAAGTTCGAAAGGGAAAAGAGCGTTTAAGATTTCCTGGGGTTTGGGCCAATGCTACCGTTTTGAAGGTAAAAAGCATTGCGCTTCAGGTGTTTTGTGGGCTTTTTTTATTTGTATGTGTGTGTGTCTGCACAACTGGCCCATTTCAGAATTCAGAACCTTTAATGTAAAAGAAAAAAAATCGGTGTTTTGTTTTGATTTTTAAGAAATCCACAAATTTTTCTTCCCAGAGCTCCACTGGACTTCGTATTGTGTACATACTGCTGTATGGTTTTATTTATTTTTAACTGTACAAATCATCTGGAAGATTTTTTTTTCCCTCGAGTGCCATTTCGGATTTGTTCAGCCTTTTTTGTTTGTTTGTTTGTTTTGTTTTGTTTTGTTTTCCTTCCTTGGCATTTTAAACATTTGGAAATGAGAGATTTTTCAACCTTTGGAGCTTAAGATTCGCTTGTCAACAGAAGGACAGTTGGGGAAACTGGATTGAAAGGATGGTTTTTATCTGTCTGCAGTTAAGACTGATATTTTGAAGTCGCATTCTTTCTGTGGTTCGTTTTTTAGCCCATAGTGCTAACCTTAAAGAGATTTGTGGTTGACGTTTTGGTTTCTAAGAAGGTCATAGTTTTTCCTCTTTCATTTTTTTTTTTTTTCATTTTCTTCTTTCTTTTTAAAGACAAGAGGAGGGGAGGGTGGAGGGTCAGGAAAGGAGAAGACAATGTTAAGTGGTGGAAGTGGAATGGCTCTGCAGTTACCAGGGTCCTGACAGCTGGAAGAAGGATTCAGTCTGCGATTTGGGAGGCCTTCCTCTCATCTTCCTTAAAAATTGCAAGGGATTCAGGCCTGTTCAAGACGCCCAGAGAAGGTCCAGGATTCCGGAACTGTGGAGACACGGAGAAACCATGAGCATAAGATTGCCCCATAGTATAGACAGGTAAGTTAGCATATAATTTGGGATTTTTTTTCCCCAACATTTATTAAAAAGACTGGGAAGGAGATGTGTGTGTTTGACTGGCTGAGCTGTGGGATAGGTAAGGTAGGAACTGTGGTCTCTGGGTACTATTAGTGTACATATGTTTATAGCCCCTCTGTGTGTGTCCATGTCTAAAGCGTTCCACCTAGTTCTGTGCCATCTATAACCAACAAAGAGTGACGCTAAGGAGACAAGAAATGCTTTTGCCGTACACCAGGTGTAAGATTGACTCTGGTCGCCTCCCCCCCCCCCCCCGCAACTTTCCAGCCTAAGAACTCATGGGTGAATGGGGAGGACAACCTTTAAATATTTGGGGAGTGGAGGTGGGGTGACTGGCAGGGTTTTGAGCCTCTATCAGACTGACTGTTATGGAATGGTAGGATGTGGTGGTAGGGTGTTTCCCATTTAAAATGAGGAAGATGCTCTTGGCCTGAAATGTTGGGACAGAAATATCCTACATCCATATAATCAGAATTTTCACCAGTGTTTGCTAGAGCTCTAAAACGTTTAGGCCGCGTTAGAATTTCATTCTCTTCAAGTTTAGCATTTACATTGAGAACTACCAACAGGCTGGTGCTTGAGGTTTAATGTTCCAAGCTGTTCTTAATAAGCTTGACTCTGCAAAACAGGCCTTCCCTCTGCTTGAAGCCGGAAGGAGTTGTTTTGGCTCTTAGGCCCTTGAAATCAGCTGGAGGCACATGATGCCCCTTCCCCCACGAGCCTGATCTGCCCTCCCTGTTACTGGTGACACTGCAGCTCGACTGTTCTGTCCTCCAAGGGGGTGGGACAACTTTGGTAGGTGTCTGCCTTGTACTTTCTTCCCCTTCTCCTCTTCAAGTCTTCTTCCTTAAAAGTCCTCCACGGGATTGTGTTTTGTGGATATCCATACACCCTAAGGTAACAGTCAAATGAAAAAAAACGGTATTTTCAAGGTAGGGAAGACAATCTGTAAATCGGCAGTTGCTGTCTCTGTGTCAGTTAACCTTTGGGTATACATGCTAATAGTCATTTCCTTTTGACTGTGGAATGCGGCCTAAAATGCATAATGATCTCCCCAAACACTACCGTTATGTTGTCTCAGGGTCCCAGTTAGATCTGTTTAGCAGTCCTTCTGTAGGGAAACTGCCTTGCGGTGGGGAAGAGGAGGCAGCCACAAAGGCAGTGTGGCTGGTTGGCATGTCCCCCTCTTTCCATCATGGAAAGGATAGCTGAAGCTGTCAGAGCAAGGAGATCAAGGGTGGTTGCATGGCTGCCCTTTGAATGATTTCTATTAATTTAGGGATGTGAGCAGATGGAAACCAGGTATCGAGGGGTGAAGGGCAGTCAGGGCTTTTGGGTTAACATGAGATAGTCCTCTAGGAGCTTGGACAACTTCACAGATAAAGGTCCTAAGTGCTTTCAGTAGATACAGTTCTTCACAGATACAGTTCTAAGTGCTTTCATTAGAACATTTCTTCATTGGATCTCATAATATTTCTCTGAGGTAGACAAATCAGAAGTTATTATTCACATTTTGTAGATGAGGAGACTGTGAATTCCTGGTTTGTCCAGTGCCGTTTTGTATTGTCTGAGGAGTGTCAAGATCTAGTCCCAAATCTCAGTCTTCTGATTCTGAATCCCTGATTCTTTTCATTGCCTCATCCTGTCTACAGAGGTTTAGAGACTCATCATCTAGAATGAGTAAGGCACCATTTTGCGCGCTCTCTCTCTCTCTCGCTCTCGCTCTCTCTCTCTGGTAGTTGGGTTAGGTGCTTGTCAAGTTTTCCCCTGTACTTTGTACCTATAATCTCTGGAGTTAAGACACTGTGTTCTTCCATGGGAAGAACTTACTTTGCAGCAAGGCCTTCCTTGCCTTTACCCTGCCTGCTTCTCTGTCCCAGTAATAGGGTCAGTCCTGGAACTGAGATTCCCTCCTGGCTTCCTCTAGCTGACTTCTCTGATCTTGCTGCCTTAGCTATAGAGTTACACTGTTGAACTTATGAATGTCCTAGGCTCTGTACCTTATAAATGTAAATAATTCACAATCCTTTCTTTATGCTACTCAAGCTAGCTTCCCAACTTGCTATGTATCTGGGTTTCACAATCCTGCTTCCACCTTCCAAAATGCTGTGCTAGAGGGATGGATTACAAGGAGCCATTGCAAATTATTGTTTCAGTATTCTCAATTTATCATGTGAGATGGTATAAGTATTTTAGATAATTATTCATTTTTTATTGAAAGCAGGCAATCTAGTTGGGAAATAGACATGGTTGCATATGCTTATAACCATAACCACAGTACTTGGGAAGCTGGCGCAGGAAGGACTACAAGATTGAAGCCACTGCAGCTACATAGTGAATGTGAGGCCATCCTGCCTCAAACACACAACACTCCCAAAGGCCATAGAATTGCCGCTAGTCTGAGCTCTGAAAGCAGAGGCTGTGTTGTTTACCTGTTTTTGTCCTGTCCACTGAGTTCAGTGCCTGGTATGTAGTTGGCACTCCATAAATACACAACAGATGCGTGTTTGGATAAGTGTGACTTCATCTGCTCCATGTCGTTTCAATGACTTCATCATATAGTTAATCTAGGGTAAATTAGAGAAAATTTCCTTGGTAATGTGTATTTTCTAGAGATAAAGGGACAGTGTGGCTTCAGTAAAGAAGACGAGTTCCCGTTTGGCAGCCTTTTTCACCAGTTTTCTCTCATTCGTCCACAGAAGGCATGACATGTTCTTAGTTGATTTCTCTCTTAGTGATCATCAAGGGCAGGGAAAATTGGGACTGCCCTGTCCTTTGCAGTTTTTGTTCATGACATCTTTTTGACCCCTTATCTGAATTTCAGTATTTCTGAAGGTGTGTTTGTATTGCAAGCAGAGAGCATGTCTGATTCCTCAGGGTAAATGTTTTTTTTGGGGGGGGGGGGCTGGGTAGGTTAGGAGTTTGTATCCACAGAACAGCTTTTCTCTGCACAAAGAAGACGAGACCAGAAAAGTATAGTTATGCCAAGAATTCTTGGTCTTCTCCATTTCCTCCTGGTTAAAGCAGAAGTGCCGTGCTAATGTCATCTCGAGGTCACACGTTTATGATTGTGCCATTTGAAAATTTCTTATTGTATCTTTCTCACAGGGCTGTTGAAAGACACAAATCAAATCAGATAAGATATTCTAAATTGCTTTTTAAATTGTGAAACTATATAAACTAGATGGTAAACTCGTTTAGTTTTATTCACTACTTTATGAATTAAATAATCCAAAACAAATTAAAACGGGTGTGGTGGAGCACACCTTTCGTCCCAGCGCTTGGGAGGGCGAGACAAGT